TGTCCACAACACTGGCTTATTATAGTTAAACATACTATCACCTATTTTTATAAAAACTTAACTTTGACTGCATTGTAGTATTTGAGAGCTGTTACTGATTCATACCAGTATGGATATCCTTTACATCTTGTCATGCTCAGAGTAGTTTCCTCTACTTTTAGGGTTGATTCTAACACGCATACCAATTTCAAATAGGATCAGTCAAGGCCAACCAATAGTCTTATGATTCAGATACAATTAAGATCAGTCATAGTAAGACAATGTAAGTAATACAGGATTTCAGCCTAAGTCAATAGGAAAGTAAGGATAGTTACCATGGTATAACCTGCTATTTTTGGTTCTAGAGGTCTGTGTCCTCAAATCTGACATGAGTGGACAGACCAGAACAAATTTAATTCAATCTAAATATGGCACTAGGACTACTGTGTCTTTTAAATCGTTATACATCGTTATACACCATTAGCAATGACCTCTCCTTTTTTTTTTTAAATATAGTTTCAGAGCTGTCTCTACTAAAGACTAGCTTACCGTCTCTGCCTCATGTCTGCTACTCCACTTTTCTGCTATAATTTGTCCACCTTATTCCCTCATTCCATTGTCTGCCCCATTCACTGAGGCCTCTCTGCCACTGTAGCTGGAATCCTGATATCTCTTCCTCTCTTTCTCTGTAATGTCCTTCAGCGCTCTCTGTAGGGTTGGATTGGTGGCCACGAACTCCCACAGTTCCTCCTTGTCTTGAAAGTATCTTATTTCTTCATTAATTTTTAGAGAGAGTTTTGACGGATATATGAACTTCGGTTGCATATTTTTTTCCTTCAGGACTTGGAATATTTCTCCCCACTCCCTTCTTGACTTAAGAGTTTGTGTTGATAAGTCTGCTGTTATTTTGATAGATTTCCTGCTATAGGTAACTTGCATCTTTTCTCTGGCTGCTTTTAATATTCTGTTTTTTTGGTGGATTTCTGGGATCTCAATTATTATATGTCTAGGCGTAGATCTGTTTTGGTTGTAGGTAGCTGGCGTTCTGTATGCTTCTTTTATCTGGATATCATTTCTTTTTGCTATACATGGGAAATTTTGCTTTAATATATCTGTGAATATTTTTTGTATTTCATTTTTGGATACTCCTGCTTCCTCACTCACATTCTTTATTCTTAGGTTATGTATCTTTTTTGTCATCTTCCAGTTTTAGAATTGCTTCTTTCTGGTTCCTTGTTATTTTTAAGAGGCTTTTTCTTTCACGTTCATAAGCCCTAAATCTCTCTTCAAGTTTCAGAAGGTTGTCTTTAGTTTCTGTCAAGGCATTTTGCCAATATTCAATGGAGTTTTTAGTTTCCTGATATTCTCTTTGGATCTGTTTCATGTATTCTAAGTTATGCTTAAATTCTTCTTCAGATGCTTCTCTTTCTTTTCTGATTTCCTCAGTTCTTCCATCTGTGTTCTCTTGGGCGGGGCTTGTCATTTCTTTAATTAATCTCTTTATATCTTGCCTCACTTGGATCAGGAGTACATCTTTAAATTCCTCTATGAGATCATGTAGGTACTTTTTAATTTCGGCTGATGCTGTGTCGAGTAGAGGATGGTTACTGTGTTTGTTCTCTTCAGTGTTTAGTTCTCCTGGGCTTATTTTCTCCTGTTGAACAGCTGGAGATTTTTTTTTATTTTTATCTCTTGTCATGTTTCTGGTTTCTTTCAGACTGTCCTGGAGTTCTCTGGTCCTCTCCGAATTGCTTAGGGCCTTTCAGAAGCGTGCTGGCTTGAGTTTTTGCTGTCCTCCCCAATTTACTGTTATCTGGGGTAGGCTGGGATGCAGGGGCGGTACAGGCTAGTCTCTAGCTTCTGTGTCAGTTAGTTCATAAATTAGGCTGTACTTTCTGGTTGTCACTGAGTTGTGACTATTTTGTATCCGCTTATTGGGCCCCAAGCAGAGGCTTGGTTTAGCTCCAGTAGCTCCTGCCAGTTCTCTTTGTATCAGAAGCAGCTGAGTAATGTCACTATGGCACAGGATTCTGCCCAAGTCCCAGCCGTTCTCTTCCAAACCTCTCTGTGACAGGAGCACCAGAATAGCAGATCCGCCCAAAACTAAGATGTCTCCCACTAAGTTCTCTGTGTGGAACTGAAGCCAGCAAGTAATCAGGCTCTGCCAGGACTCAAGATGTCTTCCACCAGCCCTCCCTACAAGGGGACCTGGTGATGTCACCAAGCTGCGGTTTCTGCCGCCAGGCTAATATGTCTGCACCAGACTCTGTGTTATTGATTTCCCCGTGGTGGCGGGCCAGCTGTTCTCTGGCCAAACTCAGCAGCCGCGGGGTTCCCGGTACTCACCAGAGTCCAGTGTAAGTCCTCGTTCCGGGACCGCCGCACACCAAGCTGTCCACTTTTCCCGCATTCCCGGCACAGCGCTGACCGGTCAGATATCTGTGCACCGTTTAGATTTGAAACGCCAGAGCTTTGTACATCCGCTCTGGTGCAGCGGTGCAGAACTGGCTGCTACTTGGAGTCCCGGTCCGGGTCTCAGTTTCCCGCAGTCCCCAAATGCAACTCAGCTTTTCCTGCTGGGTCCACGGGTCAGTTTGTTGATTTAAAGGCGCAGGATTTGCAGCCTCCCGTTATCGGCGTTCAAGGTCTCAGCACGACTTTAAATCCTCCAGCTGTACTGTCTTGGTTAATAAGAATCACTATCGATTTGTCTGGCCCTCTCCATGCTGTCTTTTTTTAGCTTCGAGTATGAATTCTCTGGAGAGACTCTTCGCTCGATCCCCTAGCCAGCCGCCATTTTGACCTCTCCCCCAGGTTTTTTATTTTGAGCTAAGTCTCACTCAACTGCCCAGACAGGCTTTGAACTCTGGATTTTCCTGCCTCATCCTCCTGAAGAGCAAGGATCACTGAGGACCACTGCAGCCCCATTCCCGAAGTGCCTGCTTCATCTTACACTGGTGCCGTCTGTGTGAGGCCTCCAGTCCTCACTTATCTCCAGGTAGCACACTCACTCAGGCTGTCAAGCTCTGCCAGTGATGGCAACAGCCATGGACAACTTCAGTCTTCACCCTGCTGATTGAGATCTGGCTATCTTCACTATATTTGAAATACTTCTTCACCTGGAATCTAGAAAATCACAGCTACCTGTTTTCTTCTCCATACCTGTTCTTTCTTTCCTAACTTTTTTTTCTTTTGGCAGTACTGGGAATTGAACACAGGGCCTTCACACTGAGCAACTTCTTAAAAAAATTTTTTTGTTTTTTTTTTTGAAGCAATATCTACGCTGCTAAATTGTCTAAGCTATGCTCAAAAGTGTGATCCTCTTGCCTCAGCCTCCCAGCTCACTCAGTAGTTGTCCAAGTCTCCATCATAACAGCCCACTGGGCCCATGGGATCAGGTGCCATTAACCCTCGGAGCTCCCCTCCCCACCCTCTGCGACTCCCTGGAGTCACACTGACTGCTCCTCAAAAGGAGCAAGCACAATCAGCCTTCTTCATGACACAGATTTTGGAAATCCTGAAGTGTAAAAATCATTAGCTAATTAAGAGGGATAAAAAGGAAGTCTGCTCGGCGGTTTCTAGGTACAGTGCTCAGTCATCTGTCTGTAAGTACAAGGCCCAGGCCCGTGGCCAGGGAGTAAGGATTAAATGATATAATTACACAAGGGCCTTCAAAAGCTACAATCCCAAGAGGCTTACTCTACTAAGCCTCTATCTTACAAAAAATTAAAACATAAAATCAAATCAGTGGGTTGTTTGGAATGATGGAAACAAACTATCAGCTGACAAAAAAGATTACCTATCTGATAACAGAATGAGTACATAAATTCTTAGTTTAACACATTGTTTCCCCCCAAAAAAGCAAAAAACCCCAGAAACAGAACAAAGCTTTGGTAAATAAGGAGGGGAAGAAGGACTGAAGGGAGGATAAGAGAATGCGAAGAAAAAAAAAAAAGAGAACTGAGGGAAGTAATGTACAGGCACAAAGTCCCTAAGATGAAAATGATTATGTATATTTGAAATGTACCAAGAAACTTAATTAAAATCAAAATAAAATAAACAAAACAGAACAACAGCAACAAAAATACATTGCTTCCCTCATCAAGAAAATTCTTTCAGGCATAGTGCTGCTTGCCTATAATCCCAGCATGTCTGAAGCAGAAGAATCCCAAATTCCTATCCAGCCCACTGGCAATTTACAAAGACCCTGTCTCAAAATTTCTTTTTTTTTTTTTTTTTTTTGTCTTTTTCTTTTTTATCAGTATCAGGGATCGAACTCACGACCGCACACTTGCAAGACAGGCGCTTACACCGCTAAGCTAACCCCCACCCCCCGCCGTCTCAAAATTTAAAAAATAATTTTAAAAAGGACTGGGGGATATAGTTTAATACTAAGGCCCTGGGTTCAATTCCCAGAATAGGAAAAAAAATTTTTTTTTTTGCTATTAAAAAATTACAGATGAACTAAATAGTATATTTACTAATGAATGAAATTATAAATGTTTTACAGCCTGGAATAAGTTCCTATTCCACTGCAGGCCAATAATTAGTATTTCAAAATCTGGCATAATCCAAAAATCAAAGTTTTGAAAGCAATGCCATAAGTCACCTTTGTCATTTTAAAATTTTATAGTGTTGAGGACCAAACCAGGCCCTTGCACAGGTAGGCACGCACTCAACCACCAGATTACAGCTCCAGCCCACTGCTTTCACTCTAATTCATGTCTATCTAATATTTTAAATACTAGCTATATGTAGTGTCAGTTTCTGTGCCTTCTCCCTTTCTGTGGTTTACAGGAATTAATATGCATCTTGTTTCCGGGATATACTCACTCTCCTTATTTCTGTTACAGAATTTCACTGTTGCTTAGGAGAAGGCTATATAATACCCAACAACACTAACATCCTTGTAAACATTTTTTAATTAACAATTCAAATTACATTATTACTTCAGAAAGGTGAGCCTGTGTAATATACCAATTTTGAAAGAAATATAAAATCATCCGCTCTTCAACACTAACCTAAATATTCCATCAGCTGCTCAGCAGTGATGATTTCCATCATTGGGGGGAGTTTCACCTGAAAAAGAAAGAACAGTCTATAAAATTCAGTGCTTCAGATGACTCAACTACTTCTTGAGGTCAGAAACCTAAATATTTACGTATGTTGGGATAGCTCTACTATGCTTGTCTACCATACTCACACCTTAACATTTCCTACTGCCATAAGAGATCACGGTGCTGTAAGAGACACTGAGAAATCTGGGTTCAAAGCCAAGTTCTGTCTGTTACCCTATTCCTAACTGTCTTTGCACCTCCCACAGTGCATGACAGACCATTTGGTTATAGAGCAGGAACAGGTACCAAATATGGCAGACATTCCATTAAGTCCACTCTGGCCATTTAATGAATACAGTATTAAAGTACTATTAAACAATGAAGAATTCATCTGTATGATTCTACTTGTAATGTAAAGTTTAAAAACTGATGCCAGGCATACTGTCATATACCTGTAATCCCGGATACCTGGGAGACAGAGGCAGAAAATCACAAGTCTGAGGCCATGCTGGGCAACTTAGCTGGGATGCAGCTCAGTGGGAGAGAATGACAGGGTTCAATCTTCAACAACAGACGCACATGTGCAAAGACACATGCACAGAAATAACAGAAGTAAACTACTACGTGCTGTTTAGGCAGTAAAAATACCAAGAACAACAGTAAGGAAAAAGATACTGTGAAAATTAGGATATAGTACCCACAGGGGAAAGAGAGGTGTTAATCTTCGAAAGGGCACGCAAGATGAATCTTAGACCCTGGCAATGCTGCTTCTTTCTCTTCTCTTTCACTACTGGAGACTGAACCCACGGTCTTCCCACCAAGCTACATCCACAGCCCTTTGTATGTTTTTTGTTTTGTTTTGTTTTTTGTTTTTTGAGATGGGGTCTCACTAAATTGTCCAGGCCAGGCCTGAACTTGTGATCTTCCCGTTTCAGCTTCCCAGAATGCTAGAACTACACTTGTGTGCCACCACACCCTGCTCCAACACAATTTGGAAGTTGAGGAAATACTTGAGATCCAAAACTGAGGTTTTATTTATTTGATACAGTGTTTCACCACGCAGTTCAGGCAGGCCTTGAATTCACTGTGTAGCCCAAGTGGCCTCTAACTCTGGACCTTCTTCCTGCCTCAGCCTTCCTAGTGGCATTATGCCTGGCTGAAACTGAGTCTTTGAAGGTCTCTGGTCTTTACTGGATTAGCTACTAACTGCCATTCAATTCTTCCCTTATTCCATGGCAATCCTGTGAAACAGGTAGTATTACCTTAATTCAAAACCACATGAAGGTTTTTTGGAAACAGTGTCTTGCTATGCAGGTAGGCTGGCCCTGGACTGGCTATGGAGCTAGGTTACCCTTCGGTTTGTACCAATCATCCTGTCTCAGCCTGCCTGAGTGCTAAGATTACTGGCCTGGCTAGGTTTTAAAACAGCTGATCAAAGTAAGTAACAGGGTTGTAATGTGAATTGGATCTAACACCAAAGCCAATTATCTTTTCCAATATACAGTATTAACAGGTGTCAGACACACAAGTTTAAGTATCACATGGTTAATCTTATATGAGAAACCCAAAATATAAACAGCAAAATAAAAGACAGATAACTAGAAGTAGAGAAAGAGACCAAGAGATGAAAGCAGAGAGTGAGAGGGAAGGGGAATGAGGAAGGGAGGAAGATATGCGAAGTACACACACCAACCCCCTATAAGGAACGTAAAATGTACTCATAAATTTCAAAAACCCTTATTTACAAATTCATAAAACAATGAACAGAACACTTCCATTCAGTAAAATATTGAGCAACATACTCAGGGTGCAGCTCGCTGATCCTGAGCTTGTCCAGCACATACAAGGCCCAAGGTTTGCGGCACAAAACAAAACAAAAAGCCTGAACATATTTCCAGCTAAGTCTGAACTTTTTGACCAATAAATAGTAGAGGCTGCCAGGAAAAGAATGAAGGCTTTTATTCTAAAAATTAGGATTGCTCGAATATCCAAATTATGGAATTTGGCAACTGAAGGTAAGTTTATAGGAAAAATGGTGCCACTTTAGAACTGTGCTAATCTGTTTGATACTCGAACAGCAAGTTAAGAACTCAGGAGATAACCTGCTTCGTTTTGTGTTGAGTCAGCGTCTGGACCTGAACTCTCAATCTTCCTGCCTCAGACCCCCAGTGTCCTGAGATCACAGGTGGCGGCCCCACGCTTGGCGTGAGATAACATTTTAAATTCAGAGTATTTGACTCATACCAGTGTATTCTTTCCATTATTGTTGGCCCTCCATATGCACAGGTTCCACATCTGTAGGTTCAATCAACCAGATCAGAAAATGCTCAGGGAGGGGGTTGGGGATTTAGCTCAGTGGCATAAGCACCTGCCTTGCAAGCAGGCAGTCGTGAGTTCGATCCCTGGTACCGATAAAAATGAAAAAGACAAAAAAAAAAAAAAAAAAAAAAAAAGAAAATGCTCAGGGGAGAATGGCACCTATACTGAACATGCACACTCTTTAGTTGCCATGTTTCTTCGAACCATCTAGCTGGGCATGGTGGTACATGTCTATAATCCCAGCACTCCTGAGGCTGAGGTAGGAGAAGCAATGCAAGCCTGAACTGCAGGGTGAAACCGTATCTCAAAAAGCCAAAAATAAATAAAAAAATAAAAATCCCCAAAAACAACAACAAAAATAATCACATGGGCATGGTGCCCCATGCCTATGACCCCAGCACTCAGAAGCTGAGGCAGAAGAATCGCTTTAAATCTGAGGCCAGCGTGGGTCACAAAGTGAGCTCAAGGCCAGTGGCAACTGCTGAGCAAAAACCCTTACTTGAAAAGACAAAAAATATGGGTCTGGGGATTTAGCTCAGCAGCATAAGTACCTGCCTTGCAAGCAGGTAGTCATGAGTTCGATCCCTGGTATCGATAAAAAAAAAAAGTTAAAAGACAAAAAGCAAAGAAACAAAATCAATTTGGTGTGACAACTATTTACATAGCACTTACATTGTATTAAGTATTATAAGCAATTGAAATAATTTAAAACACACAGGAGAAAGTACATAGGTCATATGCAAACACAATGCCATTACACATTACATACAAGAGACCGGAACACCCACGGAGGTCCTGGGAACAATCCCCACAGACACTGGGAGACAACTGTTCTTTTTTTTTTGGTATTGGGGATCTAACTCATGACCTTGTGCTTGCCAGGTCAGGTGCTTACACCGCTAAGCTAAACCCCGGGCTGGGACAACTGTTCTTACGGTAATGGACCAGCTGAACCATAGGATTTCTCCATACTTCACACTTCACTAATTCCAAATACGCAGTACAAAAATATGTACACTAATATATTCAGGATGAATACATATCATTCATGCTTTGTTAGCTGAAATGGCAAAGAAATTATTTTGAGACTATTAAAAGTATTAATGAGACTCAAGAAATGCAGCCTTTCCCATTTATTCAAAGAACTCAAAAAACTTGAGGATCCTCAATACCCCTTCAATTTTGGATTCACCCAATAAAATGTATATAAACCATTATGCATCATGCTTTACATTTTACTTTCTCTCTGTATCTTTATTCATTACTGAGAGTAACTCAGTACTTAAAAACATTAAAGTCCAGCTGGGTACAGAGGCACACACCTGTAATCCCAGCACTCAGGGGACAGAGGCAAGCTCAGGGCCAGCCTGGACAACATAAGAGCCTCAGGGCCAGGGATACATATGGCTCAGAGGCAAGCTTGAGAGACCCTAGGTTCAATCCCCAGTACTTTGAGGAAAAAATTTGAATACTTTATTATTATTATTTAAAGCTTATGACTGTTCATACCTCCTGTACCCAACAGCCTTGACCTGGTCTCAATACACAAGGTTGGAAGACAGAGAAGAGTATAGCTGACCCGCCTGGAAGGCAGAGAAGCAAGCGAGCACAGCTGTCACTGACAGGCAGCAAGCACACTCGGGCAGTGTCACTGTCCTGTGATCAGGAACAACCAAAGACGCACCACCAGTCCTAATGCTTGGCACAGAGTGGGGACGAAAGGCCCACTTGCGCTCCTTCAGTCTGCTCCAGAAACAAAACCACTGTGTGAAACTATTAATCTCATCTTATAATATCTACATTTAAAGCCCAGAGGGAAGAGACTGAGACGAAACCTTTGGCTCACCATTTGTGCTTCTTTTGTGTAAGTAATAGATGTTCAAAAGACTTCCAATGGTTGTTTAGGAAAAGAGGAAAAAAATAATAAATCCCAACGAGAAGCAAGAAGTATGTAGCAAAGCAATGTCATCAAGCAGAGAGGGGAAAGCCAGGCATTGTGGCGCACACCTGCATCCCAGCACTTGGGGAGGCCCAGCCAGAAACTGTGAGTTCATGGCCAGCTTGGATACACGGTGAGACTAGCTCAAGAAACAATAAAAGGATGTTAGCTCTCTAACAGGTCACTTGGGCAATGCAGTATTCCTCTCAGTCTATAGTGTGCTTTGATTTAGTTTAGCTGGGTTTGTTTTTGGTGTGTGTATGGGGGTGTATTTGTTTCATTTTTAATTTTAAACTCTAAATATTTTACAGAATCAAATGTATCAATTCTTATCTTACAGTTTCTAGATTGATGTGTGGAGTCACCAGTCTACCATAAAACAATTTTGCTTCAGGATCTTGGCATTCTTCCCTTGACCTACAGCAAGACACAGCTTTAGCTCCCAACAAACAAAGAAAGAAAACAAGCTGGACACGTTGGTGCGTGCCTGCAATCGTAGCATTCTGGAAGGCTGAAGCATGAGGATTGCGAGTTTCAGCCCACCCTGGGCAATTCAGCACCTCATCAACAATTTATGAAAAGTTAAATGGAAGAATTAGTGTATAGATGAAAGAACAATAATGAAAATAAATGAATTTTCCATAGGGAGTGGTCAGCTGTAGTTCTCAACCTTTTCTATCCCTCTGTCCCCTGAGCAGCCGGGAATATAGGTGTTTGCTGGGGCTATAGCTAAGACCAGAAGCCCTAGGTCCAATCCTTAGTACTACAAAAAGAAAATGGGGAAAAGAACTCCCTACCGAAAAGGAGGATAGGCTACGTATCTCCAGCATCTTCAGTTAAAACACTGCATTCGTTCTACAAAAATGCTAATGCTAACACGACGGTTAGGTCTTATAATACTTTATGTCCTCTATCAAAATGTACACTATAGGTTCCACATAAGTTTTTTTGTGTGTACAGTACATTGGCCTCAAATCTGTAACATTCTTTCCCCCCCACCAAAAAGCAAAAGTATAAGAAAGTAGTGACCATTTTTACATTAATACTTTTTTTTTTTTGGTACCGGGGATTGAACTCACGATCTTGCACTTGCCACGCAAGCGCTTATGCTGCTGAGCTAAATCCCCAGCCCTGTTTTTACATTAATACTCTTACATATATAAAAATATTAAGGCAGGCTAGGTATGCTGGCGCACACCCGAAACCCCAGCACTCAAGAGGCTGCTGCAGAGAGCTGCCGAGTTTAAGGCCAGCCTAGACTAGTGAATTTAAAGCCAGCCTGAAGAACATGGGAGAGAGACCCTGTCTTAAATAAATAAATAAATAAATAATTTTTTAAAAACCCTAAACTTCTCAATACTTTTATCTCTCGCCTCTTTAATTACTGATTTTGGTAATTATTTTGCAAAAATGGAAAATGATGAAGGTTCAATTTTCACCTACCTCACTGTGTTGTCTCTGAAATTTCCTTGTTCTGTTCCTTCAGAAACCCAGATTGTTCATTTCTTGTGAAGAGAACCACCTAAATCTTAGGATTCTGTATTACCCTGATTTTTTTGCAATGTTGTAGCCATATTTGTTCTTCTTGGCAAAATCTTTCCTATTCAATATGCTCCTTGATGCTACTGTATTACCCAAGGTAACTGACCAATTTCTAAAATTCTAGACTCTCGTCCTGACTAGGATGACACTGTTCTACTTTTTATCCCACTGTACATTTCAAATGGTGCATATGCTGGTTTCACTCTTACGCTCTTTGCTGGAAATATTCTTCCACTTTTACTACTCTCTTCCTCTCTTTCTCTTGTGGCGAATGGAGCGAAGGATTAAGTGGAGAAACAGAGGTAATTCAGACAGCCAACATGTTTCTGTCAGCAATTTGTAAGTCTTCCTGTATGCTGGGATAGAAAAAGGTTGAGAACTACAGCTGACCACTCCCTATGGAGAATTCATTTATTCTCATTATTGTTCTTTCATCTATACACTAATTCTTCCACTTAACTTTTCTCAGCATTTTGATCTCTTTCCCGAGACCTAACATGTTTCTTCCCAACTGGACACAGCCAAACTCTGGCATTAACTTTCCTATCTAAAATGATTCCATTTACACCAATCTTCCTATCAATCACTAATGATTAGTAATAACTGATTTCTGTGGGCATTAAAGCTATAGAAAGCCATAAGTGCCCATCTGAAATCTTGGCACTCTGAGAGGAAGATGCAGGACTGCAAGACTGAGCCAAGCCTCAGCAATTTGAGACCCTGTCTCAGAAAAATTTAAAAAGTACTGGAGATGTAGTATAGCTCAGGGCAAAAGCTCCTGGTTCAATCCTCAGTACTATAAAACAAAACTAACCTAGAGGCAAAAAAAAAAAAAAAAAAAAAAAAAAAAAAGGGAGGCTGAAAACCACAACTCATAAGAGAAACTTCAAAATTCATTAGGATGTCTGCTCATTCACAGTCTAACCAAAACTACCTATTTCTTTTCCTTCTTCCAATGCATTTCAGCCAAGGCTGGAGGTCCCAAACAATACACCCTTTTCTCCTTCAGCATCCCTTGGCCAAAGGCCTTTTCTCATTCAGCCGCAGACCTGGTTCTCAGGTTCTCTCTGCTATGAAAACTTCGGATGGCAGTTTCATCCCCAAATTACCCTCACCTGTGCACTTCTGTTGCACACTGCTCTACAATTAGTTTATATGTCTGCCTCCACGCTATATCGTGAGCTACCTGTGGGCAGATTCACACTGCACTCACCTGTGCATTCCACACAGACTGGCAACCCCGACTGTGATCACGCTCTCCAATCCCTGAGAACCAGTGCAATGCTCATCTACTCCCGAGCACGCCAGGCACTGGGTACTTCCCTCCTTCCTCTGAAGTTCTGCAGTATGGATACGAAGAAGAAAAAAGCCTAAAGGAAACTAAGGCATTCCTTCCTGCAGAAGCAAGTGGGGACTCTGGCCCATAGAACCAAATACAATTCGCCGTTCAAGTGCTTCCATCTAGTGTGTCTTCTTTGCCTTTTCAATATTTTGTCATTCTCCAATATGAACTTACTGCTTGTCATCTAATAAACACACACAAAAGTACACAAAATATCCACTCTATTTTCATTACTTTTGTTTACACTCTTCTCCCTCAAGAATTAAATTTTTTTTATTCTTCTTTCCCTTAAAAGCTTGGTTTAAGACTCACAATTCCATAAAGCTTTCTGGGGCTATGCTAGACCAAAGAAAAATTTCCCCCTTTGGGTATCTAACGCATTTCTATTTGCTCTGTGTAACCTAGTAGTATTTACTACTCTCTAACGTCAACTAACTCAGTGCAGCAATCCCAAACATTTTGACAACTCCAGAGCAGGCACTGCCCCCGCTCCAAAAGACTGGCGCTATCTTACACAGGTGATAGCAATGTTTCTAATCTTACTTTTAAAGATTGTGGTGGGGGGCAGGGTGCTGGGGACCAAACCCAGAGTACAGTGCACTCTAGGCAGGTGCTCTACCATGAGCTTCATCCTCAGTTCATCTTTTGTTTTTCTGGATTGGCCCTTGCTAACAACAGGAAGTCAAGACATTTAATAAATAGCATTTGCTTTACTTGCTTTTGTTCCTAACTGGTCAGAATAACCCAACCTATTTTCCTCCCACAGACATTTTTTCTATAGTACAGTTATAAATTTGAAAATAAAACAGGTGCCTTGGGATAATCTTCTTGGCACCCTAAAACTGAACGCTTAAATGAGAAGTTTCACTCGCAGGTAACTCAGAGAGACTGAGTTCTCAACACATTTATCCATTCTTTTTTCTTTTTCTTTTTTTTTTTTTCCCACTACCTATCTTATTGTTGCTGTTAATAATTTTAGCTCCCTCATCACATTCTGATGCATAGTTACTGGTAATAATATCAACCCTTTCATGTAGCATCAGAGATAGGAAAAAATAAAAATCATGCATAAAATGAAAGCAGAATCTTTGAAAATGTAGAAATTACTGGGCATGATGACATATACCTGTCATCCCAGCACTCGAGAGGCTGAGGGGGGAGGATCTAGGCCAGCCTGCGCTGTTTGAGATTTGCCCCCTTACCCCCAAAAGAATAAAAACTACAAGTTACGATGATTGGGCCTCAGACCAGTCCTTTTCCTTAAATGGAATCTGTCTAAGGGCCACAACTTCCTTGTCACCATTCTGTTAAATATCTTCACCAAACTACAGAAGCATTAGGTGGAAAATAGACTGAACACAAACATCAAAACTTATTCTATGTCATGCAAAGACTACTTTCTCCCATTCGTCAGTTTTTTGCACATGTGATACTAATACAGAAAATACAGCTTAAAATAATTAGGTTGTAAGTTCCACTAGCCTGTAAACACTGCACATCAACATATATATTAAGTATGTACACATATGTTTATGTACACGGATATCCTTTTAACGTGGGGAATCTAGAACAATTTTCATACGGGAAGCAAAGGGGACATGCAAGAAGAAAGGAAGCCAGTAAATGACAAGCTGCAGCTTCCTCACCCCGTGGTGCCCCTCCCCAAAAACTGTAGGAAGTGGAAAACTGCAGAATGTACCTTCCAGGCCAGAAGCAAAACATTGAGGATGGCCAGCAAAGGGCAGGGCCCGTTCTCATTCTGGGTGATGATGGGTGTGTTCTCTTCCTTCCACTGGATCCACTTGATGTGATACACAGACTGCCCGGGGAAGCGCTCCTTGGTGGCCGCTGGCCCCAGTGCGGCGTCGTCTTCGTCCTCCCCCCGGCACAGAGGCGCAGCCCCGGGCGCCCCCGCCGCGCCCTCCTGCTCCTCCTCGGGGATCCGGCTCTCCGCGCCCTCCTCACTGTTGAACTCGGAGCTGCTGGGGAAAGAGTGCAGGTTGGAGAAGGACTCCAGGGAGTCTAGGCTCGGCGAGTCCTCGGGCGGGCTCGGGTCGCTGCCGCTGCTGCAGGCGCCGCGGGCACGGCGGGGCTCCTCGGGGCAGGTGCGCGCGTCCCCGGCCGCAGCTGGCTCTGGCCGGGCGGTCACCTCCCGCCGCCCTCCCGCCGGCGCCGCCGCGCTCTCCTCTGCGGGCTCCCTCGAGTCGGCGCCCGGGACGGCCGAGGAGGAGGAGGTGGAGGAGGAGGAGCCCGCGGGAGACGCGGGGTCGAAGAAGCTCCCCGTGCCGGCCGCCGCCCCCTGCCCGCCCGCGCCGCCGCTCTCCGTCGCCCGCGCCCGGGGACCGTCTGCCGCTGCAAGCCGGTTCTCTTGTCGGTCCTCCGGCGCTGGTGTGGTCGCCACCCCGTGTCCCAGCGGCTGCGGGCTCGTGGGGCCGCTCTCCATGCCCGGCCGCCAGCGCCTCGCCCTACGGAGACTACGGCCGCCTCTCCTCAGCCCGCGCCCCAGACGCCATAATAGCGGCTACGGCGCCCGAGCGCGGCCCCGGCACCGCACGTCACCCCGGAGGGCGCCGGGATCGCGCGTCCATCGCCCGCTCGGGGCGTGGCTGCGCGTCCGGGCGGGAGCGAGCACGCAGCTCCCGCCCGTGCCGGCCTTACGGGGTGGGACCTGGGAGGGCCTTGGGGGCGTGGCCGGGAGGGACATCTCCACTGTCCTGGAGGCTGGAAGTGCACCGCGATCTTGCTCCAGCATGCCGGGGATGCCGGGTGGCTCGCGGGTGGCCCGGGGGCTGAAGGTGGCTGCGCTGGTCCCTGGAGGGCGCTGGGACCGGTCCTCCCGGCGTGCGAGGCGGGATTCGCGCGCTGCCCGGGGACTGCACTGCGCCGGCGCCGTGGTGCCCCGGCCCGCCCTGGATGCAAGCGTCGCCCGGGAATGGGAGTCGGTGGCGCGGCCAGTAATAATAAATCTGCTCGGCTTGAGTGAGCTCAGCAGCTCGGGCGGGTTCACTTGGCTTGACTTCGCGAGGAGATGGAGTGAGAAGAGCCTGCTCCTGGAAATGCGACTTTTTCTACTTGACATTCACTTCTTTAAGGCCACGCCTGCCGGGCGTGGTGGAGCCGTCTGTTACACCAGTTTTGGGGACGAAGAGGCGGGGAGATAACATGTTCGAGACCACGCTGGACAGCTAACTGAGACTGTCTCAAAATTTAAAAAAGGCATGAGGGTGTGCAGTGTGCCTAGGATTCAATCCCTACTACAGCTAAATCGGTAAAAATGCTGCTGAATTAAGCACTTTAAAGAGTATTGAAATATATGAAATATACTGAGAATATTACAGATTCCGAGAAAGTCAGGATTTAGTATGTTGCCTCAAATGATTCGTAGTTCTGTAAAGGTGTGTTACTTGAGTAAACTGAATTTGTGAAGCGTTTATGGGCTATTGCGGGGGAGGGGGGGAATGCAGTGGTGCAAGTTTGTAATCCCAAACAACGAGTCAGAAAGATACTCAGGCATTCTTGCCCAGCTTCGACTATACAGTGAGTTCAAGGTCACCGCGAGCTGCGAGATCCTGCCTGTAGAAGCAAAAATCATGAAACACGTTCTCAAATAATGGTTTGTTTGTTTATTTATTTATTTATTTATTTTGAGACAGGGTCTCACTGTGCAGTCCAGGCTGACCCTGAACTCACTCAGTAGCACCCACTGGCCGCAAACTGGCGGTGATCTTTCCGCCTCAGCCTCCTTAATACTGGGATTATAGGCCTGTGCCACCATGTCCAGTTCACATTCATAATTTAACAGTTCATAGTAGAAGCAAAACCAAATTTTCTTTTAAAAGAATGTAGTGGTTGGTCATTACATAAGCCAAGATGAAGAGTGATGAGAATGTATGTAGTTATTTGAGTTCATGAAAATGTATAAACTGTAATTGGACTGGATGTATGTGTGACTCAGTTATACCAGGGCCTGGATCAAATTCCTAGCACCAAAGAATTAATTTTTCAAAGATACCTATTTTTTAAGGGTGGTAGGAGTACCTTCAGGGAGAAGATCAGAGGACAATAAGCTGACAGATGTCTTATTTTACTTCTCTGTATGTTTAGCAAAACAATGAGGTGAAATAAAGGATGTTCAATTTAAAATGTTATGTGAGCAAGCTATGTCATCAACCTGGAACAGACACATAGACACGTTTGTGTCCTTCTGTAATGTTAGAGTTCACTGATTAACCTAAATTTGAAAGTTACACAATTCCATCGGTTTTAACTCACTGAGTGCTCTAGATTTCACTTGCTTGTGGGACCAAGGCAATCATAGTTATTTTATTCCATTTCAGTCTTAATTATGAATATGTATAATGTAAAATCTATACATTCCACTTCACCTGGTAATATTGAAGGCACAGCAGGCTATGGAAGGTTTAAAAGTGGCCACACTGTTTAAAAGAGGCTGCAAGCTGGGCGTGGTGGCTCAAGCCTGTATTCAGCACTCAGGAGGCTGAGGCAGGAGGATCATTGTGAGTTCGAGACCAACCTGGGCTACAAAGTGAGCTCAAGGCCAGCTTGAACTGCATAGTGAGACCCTGTCTCAAGAAGACAATCAGCCAATCAATCAATCAAAATAAATAAAAGCAGCTGCAGAGTGAGTAAAGGCACAGGGCTGGTAAACCCACAGAAGGCTCTGCCAGAGGATGGATAAAGAACTAACAGACAGGGGGCTGGGGATTTAGCTCAGCGGCATCGTGAGTTCGATCCCTGATACTGAAAAAGACAAAAAAAAAAAAAAAAAAAAAAGAACTAACAGACAAAGCCCAGTGGCAGAGATACGAAGCTGTGAGGAAAAGGGTGAGTCTGAGTCCCAAGCACTGCTGAGCCAACACCTCAGGAGTTCTTTGCCTGCTAGCTCTTTGCCTGCAGCTCTCCTGGGTAAGGTCATGGTACCATACCATGGTACCATGATGACCAGAGGGTGGAGTCAGTGATGCCCATGTGTGGTTCTCCTTTTGTATAGCCCAGAGGAGGGGGTGGCATTGGGTGCCCCCCCCACCCCCTGGTACTGGGGATTGAACCTAGGGCTTTCACACTGAGCTCCATTGCCAGGCCTGTTTGATTTTTGATTTGGAGACGAAGTTTCATACTAAGGGGCCCAACTGGGCTTGAACATGCGATGCACCTGCCTCAGCCTCCCAGACTGCTGGTATTAGAGTTGCATCTGGTGTGTTTGATAAATGCCTGTGTTTAGTTTTTTGGTTTTTGTTTTGGTACTGGGATTTAAACCCTAGGTCTTTGGCACCCACCCCTTTTTAAAATTTCTCATTTTGAGACAAGAGTTTTGCTAAATTGCTTTAAATTGTCCATGCTGAGCTTAGACTTTGCATGTTCCTGCTTCAGCCTCCCAGAATCCTGAGATTACAGGTGTGTGCCATTATAGCAGGTTCCTGTGTGGTTTTCTGATATGCTCATGTTCTACAGTCAGGATTTACTGTGATAACAATATTGCCATGAATAGGTTAGTTTGTATTTCTTGCTTTTGCTGGGAAGATTGTTTAGTTGAACAAATAAGGCAGGAGGCATTCTCTCTTGGCACTTGTATTCAAATGGACTAATTCAGCTCAAACTATTGCTTTATGAAATGGCACAGTCTGAAAGCTGCTTCTCTATAACAATGTAGAAAAATTCAGAGCAGCACACAGGCTGGTCCTTTTTTGAGGCAGGATCTTGCTATCTAACTCAGATTGGCCTTGAGCTCACAGTGATCCTCCTGCCTCAGCCTCCAGAATGCTGGGATTACCAGCACATACATCATTCCTGCCTGGCCTGCTCTTCAGGCTACCCAAATTTTAAAAACTATTTTTCAAAGTTAAAGATGTAATGGTATTAGAAATTGGATAGTTTATACAGAGACAAAGCAGTTATCTGCTCTGTCCCTCCACACTACGCATTCTGTCCTTTGGAAGCAGTCCCCTTCAGTTCATGGCTGTTCCTTAGCTCTTTCTCCCCACGTCTGAGGCGCACAATTACACTCTGATTTCTCCATTTAAAGATTATATTTAAACCAGTGCCTCAGGAGGCTGAGGCAGGAGGATCTTGAGTTCCAGGCCAGTGCAGGCAGGTGAGCAAGGCCTTCCCCAAAACCACCACTCCCTAAAAAGGAATAGAGAAAACAACAACAACAACAAAATTGTAGATCTTTCTTATTTATTCTCAAGGAAAATGGGTTATCTCACATCATTTTCCCCTCCACTTTATCCAACTTCCCAGCTATTTCGCATTTTTTTTTAAAGACAGGGTCTCTATATGTGGTTCAGACTGGTCTTGAACTCACTATGTCGCCCAGGCTGTCTTTGAACTTGCAGCAATCTTCCTGCCTCAGCTTCCTGAGTGCTGGGATCACAGGCATGTGCCACCATACCCAGCTGTTTCACAATTTTTTACTAATTTAAAAGCATTAGAGTTGTGTAAATCTCTACTACTAAGTCAAATGTGCTTTTCTCGTTGAACATACTTTTTCTGAAATAAATTAATAATTATATCATCGTTTTGCTTTTTATTTGTGTAATTTTCAATCTACCATTAAGAGTCACAGACAACAAACTATTTTAATACACTTTACTCTTGGGGACTTCCTTCCTGTGGCACCTTCATCTTTCTTTGATTGGGGCTTATTACTTTTTTGCGGGCTTATATCAACCTTGCCTTTTTGGGGGGGTACTGGGATCAAACGCATGACCTCGTACTTGTCAGGCAGGTGCTTATGCTGCTGAGCTAAATCCCTCGCCCAAGACCTGTCATCTTGAATTTTTTTTAAATTTATCTTTTTTTCAATATATAACTTGGATTTGTTTTCATCCCCTACCCTCCCTTCAATCCCTCTCCTCCCCCATTTACTAAAACTCTGTTTCCACTTTTTCCTTCTTTTCTCACTTTTCTTTTACTTTTCCCTTCTTTCCTTCTTTTCTCACTTTAATTTTTCCCTTCTTTCCTTTTTTTATTTCATTAAGTTTTCTATTTATTTGATAGAAGGCCTCTATGTAGTTCAGGCTCATCTTGAACTCAGGATCCTCCTGCCTCAGCCTCCCAAGTTCTGAGATTGCAAGTCTGTATCAGTGTGCCTGGCCCTGGGATTTCTTTTAAAATTTTCTTAGTGATTTTTTCCTTTTCTCTTCTATCTTGATTCCTCTGTTTCTTGCCTCTCCTGACATCCTCCTTCTTTGATTTGATGAAATATGTTCTTAATTAGCTTCCTGAGAAAGACTGCATGAGAAGTGAATTTTCATAGACTTTAGTTTACCTTTACACTCTATAGTTTGGGTATGAGACAGTTAATTATATGCCAACTTCCAAGTGGGTATGTGGCTCCTTTGTGTATAACCCGTTTCCGCTTTGTTATTTTTCTGGGTGTTTTGACATTTTAAAAAAATCTTTTTTTGATAATACTGGGATCAAACCCAGGGCTTTCCCACTTAACTACATCCCAGCCTTTACTTTTTCATTTTCCTTTTGAGATCAAGTCTCAGGAGGTTGCCTAGCCTGGGCTTGAACTTGCAGTCCTCCTGCTTCAGCCTCCCCAGCACTGGGATTACAATATGTG